GATAATGATCACCCTATCTCTATAGCCTCCGCCTTTAAAGTCATCTACAATTATTATTGTTCCCTTGGGTTCCTAGTGGAACATAGGGCCTCAACTGCACGTCTCTCCACTTGCTTCTGTCTTGTGCTGTACTTTCCACTTGCGTCCATGTTATTCCATACTGTTTCATCTCCTCCACTTGTCATTCTAAATCAATTCTTTTTTACAACATTAAATTCTATGCTATCAAATTTCACACAATATTACGTAACGTTTTTATTTTATTCGATTTGTCTACTAATCCTATAATTGCACACCCTTTTCCAAGTTCTATCCATCCTATGAATTATTCTATATATGACATTAATTGTTTTGCCACTTGACATTTAACTATGATTATAATCACAAACATTTTAGTTTTAATTGCATTTCATACTATTATTATTATTTTATGCATTCACACCTATGATTCAATTCCCTCACCGGATATAACTTCTTAAAAACCATATATATATATATATATATATATACGATTGTACAGCTTGATGATAAATTCGTTGAAAAGAGTCTCTTCGTTGAATCACTTGTTTTGATTTCCTATATGTTACAATGGGAATTTTCCATGAGTTAAAATTTAGTTCTTGGGATACGGTGATTTGGTGGTTCAGCGGTAGAATGCTCACCAGTCACGCCTCACGTTGTCTGAGGCTCGATGCCTGCCTGTCGGACGCACTCCTAAACCTCCTTAAGCGAGTAGTAAGGCCGGTGGTAAAGAGGGAAGGTTGGACATGAGACTAGTAAAAAGTTAAGTAGAGTCGTCGAACATATATGTCATACTCGCCAGGGTATGAGCTACCTATGAATGTCTGAGGGTTGATGATATTATCGGCTTTCAAAGGTTAAAGTAGATGCGTTAATGAGACTCGAAACCTAGACCCATTGACTGAAAGTCCAATTCTTGAGACAATCAGTCACCTCCTCAGGTAATTTCAACGAGGATTACACTACGAATCCACATTAACTGGAAGAACCAATGGAAATCGTCGTGTTTATACATCTGTACACTATATTAGAATCAAATGATTAGAAACTCTAGGCATTTTTTTATTAATTAGTATTTATTACTTAAATTCAACGAACGAAAATGTTTCAACTGAAGTTAATCAATCGATATACCGATATACCTGTAACGTATATAAGCTTAAAATAGGAATTTCTAAATTGATGTAATGGTGAAATATGCATGTAACGATAGAGTTTTAAATACCAGGCTTTAGTGCCTAAAACATCCTATCAGTGAGGTCTTTATTTCAGTACGTGAAGAACCTAGAAGACCTGAATTTCGCGCGTGGATGATTTGTGTTCGACGTCACACAAAATCGAAGACTTACAAGCGAAAACTGAAAAACTGGTCGAAGAAGCAACCAGAGAAGACAGGACTCCAGGTGAACATAGACAAGACGGAGGTTATGAAAATAAACAACCAACCAACAACAACAGCAACATCCAGCGCCAATCATCAACAACGGGGGGATTTGAAAGAGGTTACTTCTTTCACTTATCTAGGGAGGGAGCATTGTCTCAACTACAGGAGGAAAGGACGAGGATGTCAAATCGAGAATCAGGAAGGCGAGAAACACATTCATCAACCTGAAACCAATCTGGAAATCTTCCGCTGTCACTCAGCATCAACAACAAAATGATTCGGATCTTCAATACAAACGTCAAGTCAGTCAGTTCTTCTATACGGATCAGAAACTTGGCGGATCACAAAGAATATTTCCAACAGCCTGTTGCAGACCTTTATCAACAGCTGTCTTCGTTCTATACTGAAGATCAGATGGCCGCCGGAAAGAATCACCAACAACAAGAAACTATGGGAACAAACAAAACAAGAACCAATCGCCCAACAAATATGCAGGAGAAAGTGGAGATGGATTGGACACTCGCTCAGGAGGCCACTGGGTGACATCGCGCGTCAGGCCATCACTCGCGTGGAACCCGAAAGGGAAGCGGCGAGTGGGAGGTCCAAGGGTGACATGGAGGAGATCGTGTGAAGAAGAGTTGAAACAGTATGGACTAACATGGATGCAGGTGAAAAGTACAGCAGAAGACAGAAACAAGTGGAGACGTGCAGTTGAAGCCCTATGTTCCACTAGGAACCCAAGGAAACAATAATAATAATGATAGTTATCAACTCTAAATGCTAAGAACAGTTTGATTATGAAGTAATTTGGTGGATGGCGACTAGCAGTGGGATCCAGAACAACGCGCATTTCGGTCTTTCCGGGACTGAATCGTTAGCTACTATATGTACCTGCATTCTCCTATGAGTGGTAGTGTTCTTACTAGGGCTGGAACCCAGTACCCATTGTCTCAAGCGTCAAAGCGTTCTTCAGATAGTCCAGTTGGGCGACGAGAGCCTCCACCTCTAATGCAACGCGAATCAGTTATTATTTCTGTTTAAATCAATCTGGACTTTTCCGTGGACTGATTCAGCTGAAATGTGCACCTTAGATTCCAATATAAGCCAACGTCCACCAGTTTACTTCAAGTTAAATGATCAGACATCATCGAAGCGTCTGCACAAAAAAGCGACATTTCAGCAAAGGTCGAACATTTCTGTCAAATCATTCAACGGGAAAAGTGTGTGGAGCTAGTTATATTGGCCACACAAAGCGCACGCTTTCCAAACGCATCACTGAACATTATCAGGCATGGTTAGCAAGAGGATAATGCAGGACAGTTACGAGGTCAATTGTCGAGGACTTCGTGAACTCAAGCCACGTAGCTCCACCAGAGTCATCTTTCAAGATTATCTATAAGCTGAGGCGAAATGGTACAAAGGGCATCAGGTTTCAGCATTTGTGTATAGATAAGACGTTGGCATCTCGTCAATACAGCCCGAACTCTGTATACAGAAAAAGTTTGTCCAGTCTCTTATTCTACTATGGTCTTAACCTCTTTATCAGTCGTTCCCTGCACATTTTAATTTTAATTTTTAATGGTTACTTTGCTTTCACTTAAATAATCGATTCACTATTATCACTCTCACAGGTTCCTTTTGTACATTTTCTCACCCTCTTCACGCTTGTTCAATAGACACTCAAGTGCCTTTTTTGTTCTCACTCAAATAACGAATTTTAACCTTATCAAATTTCTAACGCTTTCTTCCTTTGTTCCGTTGAGTATTATGTAATTGAACACTTTAAGTTTTACTCTTGAAGCCACTTCTAAGTAATTATATCAATTGTGTAAACCCCCTACTACTCAGTAATAGACTACTATACCTTTTTGTTATGTTGGAGAGGATTTGTAGCTAAGAAGGGTGATTTTTATGTGGTTGTGTTCTCTGAGCTGTATAGTTAATTTGCGAAGCTTTCATTGCCCTACTAGGCGACATACTACAAATTGAAAGCTTCGCGAATTAACTATCTGGCTCAGAGAACACAACCACATCAAAAGAAGTTTTTGGTGAATATAAATACGACTGTGCACAGACTGTGGAGATAACAAAGAAAAATTTCTTTTCTGAATTAAAAATAAATGAAATTAAGACTATGTTGGCAAATTTTTGTGTATTCTTATACAAGAACACAAGTTACTTCGGTTGTAGTCTTCTCTTGAGACTATTCTCCTTGTTACCTTGAATACCATTCATGCTACTAAGTAGATTGTACACTATGATCTGAACACTTTTGATCTCCAAGGGAAACCATAGTAATTTCCCGCCACGAACAAATTTACAAATTTACAAAAATTGTGAATTTGCTTCTATGTATATTGCCAGTTCTTACCTGAGTAACTATCTAGGACTGGAGTGGTTTGTAGCGAGGGATTCAGCCTTCTGATATGAATCGAAAACCGAGTACAACGCTTATCACTTCTGCCTCAAACTTGCTTAGGTCACTTTTGATAAGTCTAACAAACAATACTGTTTGCGGTGGTTTTTATTTATTTTATAACTTTGCCTTCCCAGTAGAAAGTAGGGCTTCAAGCTAGAGCTTTGAAGGTTCAGTAGCACGGATGTTTTTCTTGTCAGGTGTGATTGCTAACCTCATGCCCAACCTTCCCTCCTTACCGTTCTTGCTACCAGCTTAGCGAGGTTTAGGAGTGAGTCGGCCGGTAATCGAACCCCGGATCACATGCATAGATGGCAAGCATTCCACCGTTGAACCACCGACGCCATTGTTTGAGGTGAGTAGTGTCAGAACTACTCATATGAATCGGATAGTTAGTTAAAACTCAGTTGTCGGGGACAGACTGTTCATGCACCTCGTCCGTTAGCCATACTTATTATGTGAGGGCAAATGACACTACTATCCAGCCAGTTAGGTCAGGGAAATAGACCCTAGGAACCATTAAATGAAGGCTTACTAATTAAGTCTACGAATCATCCATGAGTCCACAGTATACACCATCTCACTGTCTCTCCTCTTGAGACCTTACTTATCCTTCACGGCCTTTGAATGAGAGAAAATGAACTGAGTAATAAAATAATTGTTAGGCTAAACATACCTAAAGGACATTTAACGACAAAATTACATAGTTAGTTAGCTTATACGATATGTTATGTTATTCCAAACTGTAACCATTTCTTATGCTAAATTATGAGCCTCTGTTGATGGCATTTCCACTCAAATCATGGTTATATAATTAGTGATAACAAAACATCAAAGTTAAGATCATATGTTTCCCTCGATTTTAGATTTATCAACTAGATATTTCCACTCAATAGTGACAAATGTTTTTTTCTAATGGAACTCGAACCAAGAATCCATCATTGCTTAAAATCAGACATCCTTCATTTTAATACTACTACTACTACTCAATAGCTAAACGAGTAATAACTACTTTTTCAATTATTATCGACTTCCAGTTGAAATATTTGATTTCTCCTACTTTCAGCGTACAGAATTAAACTGATTCGTCTTTGATTCCATAGTTGATAGCAACTGGTGATTGATCCTGTAATCAATCAAATCCCTGTGAATCGCCCCTTGATCCGTCCTTCTTGTCAAATGGTTAGTTGCTATCAGCGAATATGTGCATAGTCAACTTTCTAAAGAATTGACCAATGGGGTACATCAGGTCGGGTTACCCGATCCAATGGCCAGCCCACGAATTCTAAATTCTGCCAATTCACGACATGGTGTGACCACTTTGCAATGTCTTCTTCAATGAGTTACCGCCTAACCTTCAACCTGCTGTACCCTACTGGTCATGGCTTCCCACCAGAACCCTAGGTAACTGCTGTATAGGTATAGTCGCTAGTGAGCATCAGATCAACTATCAAGTATTGGTTTTGTAGGGATTTTGTTTGAAAATAAGCAAGTATACTTATCAAGAGCATTAAGTGGAAAGTTCGTTACTTGGTAATAACATACAGGAAGAGAGTAACAGGATGGAAGTTATAGTATGTGTTCACCACTGATTACGACTCTCATCCAAATCTCAAAACCGCTCAAGATAATATCAGTGATTCAGATTATCTTTTGAATCATACATAGGGAGGGAGTCATAGTGCACAAACAGACACTAACCGAAGACAACTAGACTCACATAGCCTGGTAAATGAGTAATCTGCACTGAGTACTGAGAATTAATTAGTAATTTCCTGTGATATTTTCAATTTTTCTGTTATGAAATCGAACTGAGCTTTACAAAATAACGAAAGTAATGAAGTACAGAACTTCTGGTTGGTTTCTTCTATCCTTTTTCTGCATCATTAGTGCTTAATACAGTAATGTTGAATGCCCATCGGAACTGTCAATTGTGGATGACGCTTTCTGTATGCGGAAAATTCAGAAACCAACGAATATCTAATTAACTCTTAAATAAATTTTGTTGACACACCTCCCTACAGATAATCAGAATGTTGTTACTACTGTGAACAGAAACTTTGTTGTAACACTTGTAAGTCAATCGGCTCATTGGTCCAAGTATACAATCTCTAGCCAGTAGGTCATGTGTTCGATTCGCATTGCCCTGGATGGTATTATCACCTCTTAGTCTGGAATAATAAAAGATATATTCTCAGTATATTAATTCAAACAAAGGTGGTCAATTTAAGCTATGAAAATCAATCTTTCGACTAGATACGGATACTATTTTAAGTCTTTTTAAAAAAAAAATGCACAGAACTAAAAGTATCCTATGATGACTACCTCCCAGTGAGTTATGTCTTTACCCTTCAAATCGATTGAAAATGAATAGCGGTAGGTAAGAGATAGATAGATAACTAAAGGAAATTTTCATTGGTTTATTGAGTAGAATATGTAAATATTCACAAGAATTTGCTTGTAGGGATTTGATTCGTTTCTCAAGTTTGATAACGGGTTGATGCCAATTAGACAACCATTGGAAACCAACACTCGAGTACTGGATAGCTGTTTCGTCAGCCTAGTTTGGGACTCTTCACCAGTACGCACCCATCCCACTGCCAAGGTTCAAACTCAGGAGCTTCCGGTTACATAGACCATTCAGCAGTTGGCACCCGATTCAATGGCTCGTGAATTCCAAGTTTGCCTTGTAACTGGAAGTTCCTGGGTTCGAACTCTGGCAGTGGGATGGGTGCGTACAGCCAAAGAGTCCCAAACTAGGACGTGACAGCCCTCCAGTACCGCTTGATTTCCAATAGTTCTTTAACTGATATAAGTATAAAACTTGGGCACTGTGGTAGAGTATAACTCCATTATGGATAAGATTTTATTTTGATAAGTCACACAGTGTTACACAGTAATATTAACTAATGACGTTTCGAGCACAAGTTATTACTGCTCGTAATCATATCAATGTACATTCAGAAATAATAATACGAGTGTTATTGATGCATTGCAATTAGATGGGAAAAAAGACGAGTGTTTCTATAATCATAATAAGTTACTTCTTAGAATGTTGTGATGTCTTTGAATTGAAATAGAATATTAAGATTATTTATTATCCTCCCCTGATTTGACTGGTGGTAATGATACGAGTGTTATTGATCAATTAAAATTAGATGGGAAATAAAACGAAATAAAACGAATAGAAGAAGGTAAACTTCACACTAGTGTTTATAGAAAACCAACGCATTCTAATGGATATTTAGATTTTAATTCATCTCATCCATTAACTGTTAAGGTAGGCTTAGTTAAGTGTCTAACAAACCGAGCCATAGCACTAAGTAGCAAACAAAAGACCTAAAAGACGAAATAAAACAGATAGAAGAAGCGTTGGTGTTGAATAACTATCCTATACAATTCATTAGGAAGATAACTAAAGGCAAGAAACAAAATAAAAATAATTGTGGAACTAGTAATGATAACATAAATAAAAGAGAATATAAGTCATCCACTGTAATACCATATAAGGAGGGGACATCTGAGACCCTACGTAGGATTCTGAATAAAGCAGGAATTAGAGTGGCATTCAAACCCACAAACTCACTCAGAGACAAGCTCTGTAGGTTAAAGGACCCTGTTGACCCAATTAAACAAAATAATATAATTTACAAAATACCCTGCAATGACTGTGAAGTCAACTACATAGGTCAGACTAGTAGGTCGGGGGTAGTCAGATTATCAGAACATAAGAATTTAGCTAAGGGAAGAATGGTTGACCCTGAAAAAATAAGTAATTCAGAAAAAAGCTCAGCAATTGCACTTCACGCATTAACAAACAACCACACAATAGTGTGGGACAGGGTTAAAATTCTAAAGAGTAACATAGGTAGGTGGAAAGAGAGGTTGATTACGGAATCCTTGTTCATTGAGTCTACACCCAACACATGCAACAGAAATGACTCAATGCAAATACCAGAAATATGGAAGATATTATTACCTCCGGTCAGATCAGAAGAGAATAATAAATAATCTTAATATTCTATTTCAATTCAAAGACATCACAACATTCTAAGAAGTAACTTATTATGATTATAGAAACACTCGTCTTTTTTCCCATCTAATTGCAATGCATCAATAACACTCGTATTATTATTTCTGAATGTACATTATCCTATATTGATTTTTATTCCAATATCTAGTCAATTCCACACATGTATATAAATGAAGGGAAAAAGTTGTGTGAGTAACTTGATATGATTATGAGCAGTAATAACTTGTGCTCGAAACGTCATCAGTTAATATTACTGTGTAACACTGTGTGACTTATCAAAATAAAATCTTATCCATAATGGACCATCATAGCTATCTGACGATCCAGGTACATCCAGTTGGCAAAGACCCCTGGTGGAGACAGGTGCATCAACGCACAGCTGAGAACACACACTTGTATACACGGTGTGCGAAACACACAGGCAGGCAAGTACACAGATACATGCAGACAGGTTGACACCGAACGATTTTGGAAAGTGCAGTCGGTAAAGATTGTTTAGTGCCAGTCGTACTAAAAGAAGTCACGAATTGTTAGAAGTTATAATACATGGACTGGCCATTGAGGAGTCGGGTCTCACTTGCTGAATAGTCTACGAGCTCGCCTTGTAACCGGGAGGTCCAGGGTTCTAACTAAGCTGACGAAACAGCTATCCAGTACTCCAGTGATGGCTCTCAGTGGTTCTCTAACAGTGTTCAAACTTGAAATATAAGCATAATTAAGACCAAATTTTAGGCTAATTGAGAGTAGAGAGCAAAGTCAAAAAGACGATATACCTTTGTTTAGCATTCAATCACAAACTGCCGTTCTCTTCTTTTCATGCTATATTTCATAAGGTTAATTTTTTTGCTTATAAACTCGGTGAAAGACCAAATTGTAATAAAACACAAAATAACTGAGCAAAGAATATCCTTTTCGATAAATTCCTCTTCTGCTTGGTTCACAGAGCAAGAGCAATCTGCTCTGATGAATGTCTTGATGAGGAACTTGATAATATTAAACGGTTGCTGAGTTAAAATGATTCTCCAGAAAAGTTTATTAATAAGAATACCAATCTTAAATCAAAGCAGCCCAAGGTTCAAAGAGTTCCTAAAAAGGCCTTATTCTTACAAATGCAGTTCCTTGGGGACACCATCAGCGAGATACTAACACAGCGCCTTAGAAATGCGGTAAAAAGAGCATTCACTGCTGCCGAATTACGCTGTGTCTTTAAAACCACTCCTCTTCTGCGTTCGGGAGTAAAAGACAAACTGCCTAATTTCTCCTCTTCTATCTGTATTTACCAATTTGACTGCTCCTGTGGAGCCAGTTACATAGGCCGTACAATCAGGCGTGTTTCTGAACATCACCCTGTGTGGTTGAGCAAACGACAAACAAAATCTATTTGCAGAGCTATTCTATCTCATCTTGTGGATACAGAACACAAGAATGATGTTAACCAGGCTTTCAGAGTCATTTACCACATAACAACAAATCTAAATTTCTCCTTAAGAGTTCGATTACTAAATATTGCTGAGGACGGCTGTTGGGATCTACATTAAGAAGCCTAATTTGTGCATCCAAAAGAAGTTAGTTCAGGCATTATCCTTACCTTGGCCATCCAGGTCGCACGATTAGGCAGGTTCGTCTACGGGTTCGAGAACATATACCAGCTTGGTTCAGCAGAGGGGAAATTAAGTGCATAAAAAGCTCGATCCTGTCACACTTGGTCGATACTGGACATCATATCGATGTCAACACAGCTTTCAGGGTTATATACCGAATTCCGAAGTCGTTATCACGTACAGTTCGCTTACGTCTTCTACACATAGCTGAAGCTGTTGCAATAAGATCGACTAAACCGGAACTTTGTATCCAAAAAGAACACGTCCAGACGCTGTTCCTACCGTGGCCAAACTTGGATTGATGATTCTTCTTCTCACCAAGAGTGCTCCTTCCCCTTAACCCTCTTGGCTTCTTTTTTTTTTTCCTTTGCTTATTATTACAATTATTACTATTATTATTATTATTATTATTATTATTATTATTAATATTATCATTATTCGTCATAATTTATGCCCTTCATGCAAACATTCTCTCAATACTATCGAATTTTTTTTTTTTCGTTTATACTATCCGGACTTATTATTAGCGATATTATCTCTTTTCTCAA